TTTTTAAAAAGAATTTTCTCTTCCGAAAGAGCATTAGATGAAGTCACGTTGGGTGGTCATATTATTTTGAAAACCCTTTAAACTGGAAAATTGCTTTTATAAAATTAAGCAAACCGATCCAACACCAACTTTTGAGTCTCAAAAACTCCTTTTTCGACTTCTCAAAAAGTCATGTCAAATGGTCTCATAATCTTGTAGACAAATTAGGCAGAAGCAGGTGAAATGGAAGCATATTCAGAAAGCAATAGATGATTGAAATGCAGATACAAAGTGCAAGACAGAGAGAAGTGGGAACCCTTAGTTATTTGATTGAGGTCTGTCTTCAATTATCAAATCATATGAATTGCAATTACATCAATCCTGACATCACTACAACAATAATAAATTGACATTTTGTACTTCAAATGCTATAAAATTCCTCAAGAATTGAATCCCTTTAAAAATTCTACTTCATGCTAACCAAAGGATCAAAAGAGAGTATAAAGAGAGAGGCAGGCATTGCATAATTGATCCATTTTAGTTTCAGCTCTTGTACCTGCCCCAGGTGGCAAAGAGCCAACATCGAGGTGTTAAACCTTTCCTGAGCTCGCTCTTGGAGACGGAGTTACTCCATTTTCAGTCGATCATTTCATTGAATACTATAGCTTAACGAAACAATGACAGAAGGTAGTGACAGATTTCGGGTCAGCAGTGCACGTATGAGTGCAAGATTAAGTAGTTCGAACATATGGAGAAACAGTGGGAGGGAGATTTTTTCGAGATCATCAATAGAGGCAGATGACGAAGAAGCATTGAAATGGGCTGCTCTAGAGAAACTCCCGACATATCTTCGTGTAAGGAGAGGTATACTTGCAGAAGAAGAGGGACAATCAAGAGAAATTGATATAACAAATCTTGGACTAGTAGAGAGAAAAAATCTTGTGGAGAGGCTATTGAAAATCGTAGAGGAAGACAATGAGAAGTTCTTGTTACAACTGAAGAAACGCATTGACAGGTAATTTCAACGGGAATAACTAAAATTTGCATTTCTTTTGTTCTCTAAATTAGAATTTCTAGCTTGATGAAGTTTATTTAATTGATCCAGAGTTGGTCTTAATCTTCCAACTATAGAAGTTCGGTTCGAGCATTTAAATGTTGATGCAGAAGCTTACGTTGGCAGCAGAGCTCTGCCTACAATATTCAACTTCACTGTCAATATCTTGGAGGTGATTAATCTTTTGAGGTCTTATATTCATAATGCAAAATGAGGTTTCTCTGGATTCTTAACCTTTTATCTTGTCTGTTTTTTACTTCTGTAAAGGGTTTTTTTAGTTATCTTCATATTCTTACAAGTCCGAAGAAACCGTTGCCAATTCTTCATGATGTCAGTGGAATCATCAAGCCTGGAAGGTGAGCAGATAGTACTATCTAAATGGTCATTCCTGTCGAACTCCCCTCTCTCCATTTTTTTCTCATGTCCTACACCGAAGAGCATACAAGAACTAAATTGGGTTATCCGATTTTGCAGAATGACATTGCTATTAGGACCACCAACTTCTGGCAAAACTACATTGCTGTTAGCATTGGCAGGGAAACTTGACACACAATTAAAAGTAAGGAAATACGTACCTTTGTATGTTCTGATTTTGGAGAAATGTAAATTAAAAATTCAAAAATTTAATCTTAAATTGGAAGGATAAGATAATCTTTTTCTCCCACTGAAAACTTTATACTTGCTGAGTCCACAGGCATCAGGAAGAGTAACATACAATGGCCATGAAATGCACGAGTTCGTACCACAAAGAGCGTCTGCTTATATAAGTCAGCATGACATGCACATTGGAGAATTGACAGTTAGGGAAACATTAGCATTTTCAGCAAGATGTCAAGGAGTTGGAGATCGTTATGGTGGGTAAAGATTTCATTTACTTTGGCATGTTTGGTAGAGGGATTGCATGGCATTCAGAAGAAAGAGAAGTTAAACTTTTATCCATTTTATTGTCGATCCCCGAGTACCAAACATGCACATAATGCTGTAATTCTACAGATTAGTATGATTGAATTGTTCGTTTGCAATTTGCAGATATGTTGACAGAATTATCAAGAAGAGAGAAGGAGGCAAACATTAAGCCGGATCCTGATATAGATATTTACATGAAGGTCAAGAGACGATCTTTTCTCTTCACAGACAATTCAATTTCGTACATATGAAGTCTTTTAATACAATCTATTGTCATGCAGGCAGCATCAATTGAAGGGCAGGAGGAAAGTGTCGTAACAGAGTACATTATCAAGGTAAACCGCTTACAAATTTGTCAAAACTAGTTAGAATAGATGAAAATATTTAAGTAAAAGGGTAATCAGCAGGAAAAAAAAATCCCTGAGCTGTTTGTACTCATTGTGAAATGGTCCCTATTGTTTCAAACTTGCCATTTACAGCCTCATTTCAAACATTTCTTACAAAATTGGTCATTGTGGTCACATTCCTTTAAATCCTTTTGTTAAATATGTTTAATTTGATGCAAAACGTCCATATCGCTTGCTTTAATTACACAAATAGTCCCATCATTTCAATTTTGATATTTGGACACTTAGATCAACATTTCTTTATTTTAAAGGTTCTTATCGTCCATTTTCTCCATTATAACATTATGAAAAGACTAATTTATCATCAACTTTAAATAAACAGATAGAAAAATGAAATAATATAAAAAAATTGTATCTAGAGTATCTTTTTTTTTTTTTAATTACAAACGAATAAAAGAAAAATATTTTATTTTTTCAATTAACCCACCTATGCCTACCCTTAGCCTTACGCCTATCCTCCTCCCCATCCTCCACCGCCACCGCCACCACCAAAATTATTAAAAAGAGAATTAAAGTATTAAAAACAATTGATGAGGAATATGCACCATTTTCTTTTTATAATTTTTTTGTTTTTCCATTTTTAAATATTTTTGTACTTTTATTATACTTTTAATTATCTCTTTTTATTAATTTTTATGGTGGCGGTGGAGTGTAAGGGATGGGCGTGGGGGTAGGTGGGTTAATTGGGAAGGTAAAATATTAGAATGTTTTAAATTATTTTACGTGAGACTCGTTTGTACTTTTTAAAAAATATGAAATTCTAGATGCAATTTTTTATATTATTTCCTTTTTTATTTGTTTAATCAAAGATGATGATAAATTAGTTATTTTTACAATATTATAATACAGAAAACAGATGATAAGAATATGTTAAGCAAAAAGATGTCAATCTGAGTGTCCAAATATCAAAATTGAAGCAATATGGACTATTTGTGTAATGAAAGCAAACGATAGGGATGTCTTGCATCAAGTTACACATATTTAATGGAAGAATTTAACGGAATGGACCAATTTTGGAAGAAATGTTTGAAATGAGGTTGTAAATATCAAGTTTAAAATGATACGGAGCAATTTTGCAATGAGTACAGACGATAGGGATGCTTTTTGCAAATTATCCTAAAGTAAAACTCTCTCGACTCACATGTAAATTTCAGATCCTGGGGCTTGAAGTTTGTGCTGATACCTTCGTGGGAGATGAAATGGTTCGCGGAATTTCAGGAGGACAGCGAAAGAGACTGACAACAGGTAGTAACATGAATATATTCATAGTAAAGCATTGATCAGCAGCCCACACGAAATCACAAAGTTTTCATTTGTTCAAAATCAAATGTAATTCAGGGGAAATGATGGTTGGACCGGCGAGAGCACTTTTCATGGATGAGATATCGACTGGTTTGGACAGTTCAACGACTTATCAGATAGTAAATTCAATAAGGCAGTCTATCCACATTCTTCAAGGAACTGCTATAATCTCGCTCCTGCAGCCTGCACCGGAAACATACGACTTATTCGATGACATAGTTCTTTTATCAGACGGACAAATTGTGTATCAGGGTCCCCGCGAAAGTGTATTAGAATTTTTCGAACATCTGGGATTCAGATGCCCCGAGAGAAAAGGAGTAGCAGATTTTCTTCAAGAAGTAAATCTAATCTCTACATCCCTTTTTTGGCTGGATATCCTTAGAAGTGATTGAAAAAGTTACTGACTGCTTTTAATAATAGGTGACATCGAGGAAAGATCAAGGGCAGTATTGGGCACGGAGAGATGATCCTTATTCTTATGTTTCTGCAAAAGAATTTTCTGAAGCATTTCAGTCATTCCATGTTGGACGGAAACTTGGCGATGAACTTTCCATTCCTTTCCACAAGGAAAAGAGTCACCCGGCGGCCCTAACAACAAAAAAATACGGAGTTAACAAGAAGGAACTTTTACGAGCGTGCATATCCAGAGAGTACCTTCTCATGAAGAGGAATTCATTTGTCTACATATTCAAGATGGTACAAGTGAGTCCCATGCAATAATTCCACGATCTTATCAAATTTTATGAAAAGAATTCAAAAGGCTATTGAACTAAACTGACTAATGGTTACAATTCACATTTCCAGCTTACCCTTATGGCTAGCATATCCATGACAGTATTTCTACGCATCAAGATGCCCAAGAATACAGAAACAGATGGTGCAATTTTCATGGGTGCTCTCTTTTATGCCGTTGTTATGATTATGTTTAATGGATTTTCAGAGCTTGCCCTCAGTATTATGAAACTTCCAGTCTTTTACAAGCAAAGGGACCTTCTCTTTTTTCCTCCATGGGCTTACTCTTTGCCCACGTGGATCCTGAAAATTCCAATCACACTTGTTGAAGTTGCAATTTGGGTGTTTCTGACTTATTATACTTCAGGATTTGATTCTGATGCAGGAAGGTAATAACTAATTCATTGAAATTCATTCAAGAGCATAAAGATTTCAGTTTCCCGATTTGGTTAATGTATGAAATCACAGGTTTTTCAAACAACTACTACTGCTCATATGTGTTAACCAGATGGCATCTGCACTGTTCCGTTTAATGGGAGCGTTAGGCAGAAATATCATAGTAGCAAATACATTTGGTTCCTGTGCATTACTCACAGTTCTTGTACTGGGTGGATTCATCTTATCACGAGGTAGACAGAATTTTATAATACAAAGACTTCAATACATACTAACCTATACCTAAATTGTAGTACTTCTAAATATTTCTAGTTTCCTAAAAACACTGATGTTTGTCCATCAGATAGTATAAAAAGTTGGTGGATATGGGGTTACTGGATCTCACCTTTGATGTATGCACAGAATGCTATAGCAGTGAATGAATTTCTTGGAAAAAGTTGGAGCCATGTAAGCATCTTCTACATACTTGGAGTTTTGGAAGGAGAACATAAAAGAATGAGATTGAGAAAATTTAACATCAAATATCTGTATTGCAGGTTCCTCCAGGCTCAACAGAATCAGTTGGGGTATCAGTCTTGAAGTCTCGAGGGATTTTTCAGGAGGAACGTTGGTACTGGATTGGCTTAGGAGCTCAGATTGGATATATATTCCTGTTCAATTTCTTAGTGATCTTGGCTCTAACTTATCTTAACCGTAAGTACTCTCTATTTGAATTCAAAGTCAATAAGGCTCAAACATGTTGAGGAAATGTATATGTTTGATGTAGCATTCGGAAAACCCCAAGCAATTTTATCGGAAGAAACAGTAGCAGAAAGAAATGGCAGCAAAAGAGGCGAAACTGTTGAACTATCATCCAGAAGGAAGAGCACTTCCGGTAATTATTCATTATGTTTTATCGTGCTTAAAATAAACTCGAGAGTTGTCTCTAATATTATAAATGCAGGACGAGAGATTGATTCTCGCCACAGTATATCATCAAGGTCTATGTCGTCAAGAGTTGGCAGCATTAATGAAACAGATCCAAACAGGAAGAGAGGAATGGTTTTACCCTTTGAACCTCTTTCACTCACTTTTGATGATATCCATTATGCAGTGGATATGCCAGAGGTATATTCAATATTTCGAATCTTGCAGTATTATAGTTTTTAGTTTTTCTTATTTCATATTCTCGAATTCAAATTAAGGTCTTTATAGCATGTTTCCTGGGAAAGATTGATAGCACTGGAAAGAGGGGAAAAAAGAAAGGGAAAAAAAAAAAAAACCAAAGAAGCTAATATCTTGTCCATTATAGTCTCAAGTCTAAAGTTTCACGGGATCTTATATGCACATTTTG